CGAGGGGGGCAAGGGAAATAGGGGCCAGGAGGAAGGCAAGAGGTCTCCGAGGGACACAAAAGGGCTTCGTCAAGTATTCCGTTGGTCCCGCTTTGTGCCACGGTTGCCATTTCTTCATATTTGATGCACATTATTATTTGGGGTAGGCTGCTGGCGCTCGCGCGCGCGCCCGCGCGGGGAGCGCAGACGAGGCTGCTGAGACCTGCTCCACTCAGACTGGAGAAACAAAAAAAAAGGAGAGTGCGGGAATAAAAAAACGCTGCTGCTCCGGCCGTAGTAGCAGCTCACTGCGTTGCTTGAGTCCGCTTGAAAGGAGGTTTGCCCACGCACACGGATACTTTCTCTCTCTCTCTCTCACACACACACACACACACGGGCGCAACGAGGCCCAACGCCCCACACGTCCCTGGGGGGCTTTTATCACCGCTAGAGGGTCGAGTTTTGAGACGGAACGGTTTACTGACCCATACGCTCCGCCAACGCCACCCTCAGCAGGAAATGGAGAGCCGGACTGGGAACTCCTTGCGGGCTAGATTTTAGGCGCCGTGTGCGTCTTGGGAAGGCGTCCGCTGGGCCTTTCGCGTCTTCTGAGACACTCCTCCGAGGTAGACCTCGACCCCTACCCGCCCCTACCCCTTGACTACGAAGAAGTCTTGGAGTCGACGAGACGATGATGACTGAAGTAACATTTTTAGATCTTGGCTTGCTTGCTATTAACGCACGTCCTGTCCAGTCTTTAGTATAATCAATCAAAATGTCGTCAAAACAACACTATCAAATTAACGCCATTTTCTATTGCAGACTGGACTAGATGTTTGATTATCAACTGGCGTATTTTCTTTTAGACACGGGTGAAATCATGAGAAACATTCGACTTTTACAGGTGTTGTCGAAAAGGGTCAGTGCCCTGCGATTTATTTCGTGTCCTCTGAGCCGTCCTTTGTTTTTCTCTCTCTTCTGCATACCCCGCCTCTTTACCCGCAGCAGTCGCCCACTGCCGTTTTCCTCTTGCGATCGTCTGCGGGCAGGTAGAAACTTTTAATTGCAGTCTGTTTTGCCTTCATGCCCCCCCAACCCCTCCCGCAGTGACCTCCCTCAGCCCGCGCCTGGAGGGGGTCCCTCCCGGCCGGACCGGCGCGGCGCCCACATCAGGCCCCAGAAGCAGG